CAGATTCACATCCTTTCACTGACATTCTGCTTTCACTGTCGTGACTGATGACTGTCACGCCAACTCCATTTTTGTCATCCATATCGCAGTAAACAGTAAACGGTGCCAGGCCTCTCAGTCCATCTGGATCAATTTTGTAATTTCCGCTTACACTGCTCAGGTATTTTCTGATCACCGAACAGGAACCCATAAGACCGCACTTAAAGCCATCTCCATTGTAACCATGGTTACACTTGCATGAATATGACCCACGTTCATTTGTACAACTGGCATGCTGATGACAGTCATTTGTATTTCTATCACATTCATTTAGATCTGTTGAACAGATAATATAACTATGAAGTTAGAAACGACGTTTAAAAACATATAATAGTAACTTTCAATCTTGTCACCATACTTTTCAATTAATGTTGGTTCATAAAATTTGGTTTTACATAAAGACAATGTCCCCTTGTTGAACTTTTATGATATTAGGGTGAAGTGGCTCACGAGTTCTATTCTACGAGACCGAAACAGGTCAGCCAAGTTAACTTTCGCTTGTAGAAAACGAGAGATTAGATTCGACACGGCAGAAATTCGACGTCTGAATCGGTATCGCATTTCTGTCGGATAATGCGACAAGACCAGTCGAACGTGCGGCAGAAATGCGGCAGCCGATTCAGACGTCGAATTTCTGTCGAATTTAATTCGTTGAATTGAATTCGACACGGCAGAAATGCGACGTATGAACCGGGCCTAACATAATTATGCGAGGTTGTCAGTTCACAAAGAGTGTCAATGAATACGGGTCAGTAAGATTCTGCTACGGCACGGCCTGCTGACGTTCCTTCGGCTGAGTTACAGTAGGCCGTGCYTCCTTTACAACCCCAACCAGCGCAAGCTCCGCAAGGTATTGAAAATGAAGCCCAAGTTGGTGCGTCCACGACCTCTGAACAAGGAACTTCTGTTGAGCAACGTGGTCGGGCGTCAAGTTCTACTCCTTCTAAGGCGGAGCCGTTACAGGTTTGTGTATTTCGAACTTTTGTCTGTAAAGTTAGTTATGGGGCAGTTTTGGTATTGCATATTGGAGGTCCAGTTTCTTTTATTTCACTTCTTTTCTTTGCGGGCTGTCGTTTATGCGTGCCAGTCATTTGTTATTCTCCTCATGCCGCTGAAACCCGGTAAG